GAAATCAGTATGGAGATTCCTCAGGAAAATGGGACTCAGTCTACCACAAGACCCAGCAATTCCACTCTTAGGCATATACCCAAAAAATGCACATTCATACAACAAGAGTGTCTGTTCCACTATGTTTATAGCAACATTATTTGTAATAGCCAGAACCTGGAAGCAACCTAGATGCCCCTCAACTGAAGAGTGGATAGACAAAATGTGGTACATTCACACAATGGAGTACTATTCAGTGAAAAAAAAAAACAATGGAACCTTGAAATTTGCAGGCAAATGGAAGGCACTAGAAGAAACCATACTGAGTGAGGTAACCCAGTCACAAAAAGAGAAACATGGTATGTACTCACTCATTTATGGATTTTAGACATGAATCAGGGGAGTGCCAGCATACAATCCCACTGCCAGAGAGTCTAGGAAACAGAATCTTCATCCAGCAACTGATGAAAGCAGAGGCCGATACCCACAGAAAAACACTGAACTGAACTCCTGGAATCCAGTGTCAGAAAGAGAGAACTGATGGGCAAAGGAGTTAAGACTGGGCTGGTTTAACCCACAGAAACAGCTGACCTGAACAAGGGGATGCTCTTGGACTCTAGATTGATGGCTGTGTGGAAAGCATGGGACTGACCCAGACCCCCTGAATGTGGGTGCCAATGAGGAGGCCTAGGTAATCTATGGGACCTTGGGTAGTATTTATCCCTGGCATACAAATAGACTTTGAGTGCCCATGTCACAATATGGGAGGATCTCTCAGCTTGTATTCTTGGGGAGAGGGCCTAGGCCCTGACCTGGATGAAATGACAGTTAATGGAGATCTACCATGGAGGGCCTCACCCTCCTTGGGGATCGGACTGGAGATTGGGTGGGGGACTGGGGGACCTGGTGGAGAGGGCAGGGGAGGAGGGGATGAAGAGGGAGCTGGGATTGACATGTGAAACAAGATTGTTGCTCACCTAAATAAAAAAAGAGAATAATAATCCCTTCAATAAGATAATATGCTTTCCCTTCCCAGAATTCCTTCCCCCAGTGCATTTTCAATGAACCACCACAAGACTCAACATTTTTTCTTCTTTTTTGTCTTTTTTCTTTCGATGCTGTCAGAGCCTAAATGTGCTTTTCTGACACTCTAGGCTTCCTTATCTTTCTCTCTACAACTCCACTCCCAACTAGGTGACTGCCATGTGACTGCTCTTCATGATGTCTTAGCTCAACCATGGTGTGAGAGTACATTTAGGTTACCTGAAATTCCATCTTCCAATGTGGAAGCAGATTCACAAAGTTTTTCTAGTAACAAAACAAAGAATGTAGCACCTTGTTAGGAGTCATTGACACACATTGCCAGCTGTGGTGGTTTAAAAGTAAATGGCCCCAAAGGGAAGGAATGGCGCTATTAGGAGATGTAAGCTTGGAAGAAGTGTGTCACTGTGGGGGAGGGCTTTGAGTTCTCCCATGCTCAAGCTACTCCCAGTGACACAGACCACTTCCTGTTGCCTGCAGGATGTGGGACTCCCAGCTCCAACTCCAGCACCATGTCTGTCTACCTCCTCACCAACATGTCCCACCGTGATGGTAATGGACTGAACCTCTGAACTGTAAGTAAGCCATTCCAATTAAAATTTTTCCTTTATCTGAGTTGCAATGGTGATGATGTCTCATAGCAATGGAATCCATAACTAAGATACCAACTATTCCCTAAAGACAATCACTATTTAAAAATAAAAGGTATCATCTCTCAAAAGATGTTATATGTGTACATAGCAGCTTGTATATAATATACATTATATGTATTGCATAAAAGGATATATGTAGATTGCTTTACACTTTAATTATTGTACTTACTAAGACATCTTGAAGACATATATATATACCTGAAATCCAGATAACTCCTTCAGAGCTCTCTCAAGTTGGGGTGAAGGACTGGGCTCTCTACCACTAATCCATGACTGCACATAGGTTGTGTGTGGGGAGGAAACATTGTGACCTTTTGATCGAGAGATTTCTTCATTTCAGAGAAATCCCTGAGGAGTGGCTGAGAACTCTGCACGGGCAGCACTGTGGCAGCTACGGTAATAAGTCCTGTAATATTGAAGGGCAGCCTGGGCAACAAATGCCAGCCACCATTGTATACACCAGGCTACTGAAACAGGCCTACATGTCACGTCCTGCTGTGGGCACTTTATCAGTATAAACACATGCCTGGAGCTGTGTGTTCAGCCTGCCCCTGGGAAGCCCTGAGTTGAGGAGCAACCTGACATCTGAGAATCCTATGACCCCGCAGGTTACAAGGCCTATTCTAGTAAGTTGTCTTATCTATTTGTTCATCCACTCATTCATTCTGTGGTGGTAGAGACTGAACATCTGGCCTCATACATGCTAGACAGTCACTCCAACCTGAGTTAGATCCACAGTTTGTTTATTCATTTCTTTATGGTTTGTTCATATGGCTGTTGGCAAAAAAACTTCAGCAACAGGCATGTATGTCTACATATGTGTCTATCTGAGTGTCCTCACAACATGGTAGCTGGTTGTCCCAAAACAGGCAGTTTGAAAGAGAAACAGCTGACCTGAACAAGGGGGAACACTTTGACCTCAGACTGATGGCTAGGAGGCCAGCATGGGACTGATCCAGACCCCCTGAATGTGGGTGTCAGTGAGGAGGCCTTGGCAATCTATGGGGCCTTGGGTAGTAGATCAGTGTTTGTCCCTGGCATACAAATGGACTTTGGGTGCCCATCTCACAATGAGGGATACTCTCTCAGCCTGGACTCTTGTGGGAGGGCCTAGACCCTGCCCTGAACGAAATGACAGACTATGGAGATCCCCCATGGAGGGCCTCACCCTCCCTGGGGACGGAGTGTGGATTGGGTGGGGGTCTGGGGCACCTGGGGGGGTTTGGAGAGGGGGGGGAGCTGGGAGTGACATGGGAAGCAAGCTTGTTTCTAATTTAAATTAAAAAAAGAAAGAGCAAAAAGAGGCCTCAGAGCCATTCACACCCTAATCTTAGACAACACAAATCATAGAGCTTTACCTCTTGAAGAAATTAGCATCAAATATTCACAAACATTTACATAGAGAGAAGGCTGTTCCCCCCCAAAGCAGCTGGCTGACTAAAGGCAAAAGCAACAAGAGACTTTAATTCTCCCCTTTTTGTGTGTGATAAGGATCTGTTCTTACAATATTTTAATTAAAACAGAAATATTAAATACATATTTTAAATAGAATATAACTCTTGAACATGTGGAAAACAGGCAGGTCTGCTGCTTGCAGCTCCTCTGCCGTGCCTTCTCTGGGTTAACTTCACCAGACAGGAAGAAGGAGAGACAAGATGATCATTCCGCGAGCTTCTCAGAGGGCTCGTCATTTTCCTAGAGCATAAACAAGGGGTCAGATGACTGCGCGCTGTTTGAGAAGCGGCGCTGTTTGAGAAGCGGAAGTTGTGGGGTGGGTCGTTAGACCAGTAGTCTACTTCCTGCATCCTCATTGGCCCACAGTTTAACGCAGAAATGATCTTACTATCTATCCCCAGCCGCTTGGCGGCAGGTACCGCTTGAGACACACAGACATCCCAGGAATGTTCAAGAAGACCTTCCATTTGGGCCTTTGAGTGCGCTCCCTGTCCTTAATCTTTGTAATCTCAGCAGCTAAGGCCCACCCTGGAATCTTGAAAAAAAAAAAAAAAAAAACAGGGACATGTGGGGCAAGATCTGGCAATGTCCTGAGAGAGAAGCCACAAGAGACTGGGCAAACCTGTTCCCCGGAGCCCTGATGCTCTCCTGAGTCAAAAAAGTTTCCACCCTACCTAGTCCTTTGCTGACCCCTTCAGGCGAGGGAAAGAACTTCAAGCCTTGCCCACGCCTGACCTTGCACAGACTTCAGGGTCTCCAGACTCCACACCGTGTGGAAATCCAGCTGTCACAGCAGCAAGTAGGACCAAATAGGGCCTCCCTGCCATCAACAGGTACTTTGTTTACGAAGGCTAGTCCCTCACTTTGCAACCTGAGTGAAAGACCCCCTCCCGACATAGCCCACCAGGAACTGTCTGAGTTCACGCTAAGGTCGAGGGCCCCTGGCGCCTTGAGGGCTTGACAAACAGGATATCAGTGGTCGGCCATCCGAAACTGGGGAGTTAAAACTGGGGAGTTTCCCATCCACAATGTGCCCGAGATGAAAGCTAAGTCAGCCACCTGCGACTTCCTTGTATTCAAGCCAGGTGGCCCCAGTCTAACCTCTCTTCAAGCCAGGTGGCCCCAGTCTAACCTCTTGCCTCATTAAAATTGACCAATGGAAATCCTGTGACCATGCATCCGCTTCTGTACCCACACTTTTCGCTATATAAAGCATCCCCGTTCCCCATCTGGGCGCGCTTGGTTCCCGAGACCAAGACGCCCGGGTACCCGTATGTGTGATCAATAAAACCTCTTGCTGATTGCATCCATACGTGTGGCCTCGCTGATCCTTGGGGGGGGGTCTCTCAGATTGAAAGTATCCCAAGTGTGGAGGTCTTTCATTTGGGGGCTCGTCCGGGATGAAGACCCCTGCCCAGGGACCACCGACCCACCACTGGGAGGTAAGCTGACTGTGCGGATCCACTGTTTGTCTGGTGTCTAGTGTCCTCCAGTGTCTGCCCGCCCAATCGTATGTGTCTCTGAAACCGCGCCTGCGTCTGTAGTACTCAGCTGCGTACATCTGTAATTGGCGGTAGGGGAGGAACCGACGGGTTCGTAACCCCCCCCCCACTGAGGCTCCGGGAGACGTCCCAGGAGTGTCTGATTTTTGGCTCTCACGGGTCTATGCCCAGGCATTTTTCTGTCCTGTTTGGGGCCGTCCCTCAAGGAGAGGGATTTTCAACCCTACTGAGGGAAGGAGAGAGGCAGGTTGCCCTCCCATCTGAAAATTTGCTTTCGGTTTTGCGCCGAAGCCGCGCCGCGCGACTTCTTTGTCTGTCTCTGTGTTTGTTTCTTGTAACCGGTATTTGTGTCTTCATCCTTTCGGAAGAAATGGGACAAACAATTACCACCCCTTTGTCCCTCAGTCTCGAACACTGGAAAGAAATACAGGAATATGCACATAACCAATCCGCTGAAGTGCACAAAAAGAAATGGGTAACTTTCTGTGCCTCCGAATGGCCCACCTTCAACGTCGGGTGGCCGCGGGATGGCACATTTAGCCTAGACATCATTAGGCAGGTAAAAGAAAAAGTCATGGACTCAGGGCCACATGGACATCCTGACCAGGTGGACTACATCATCACCTGGGAAGCTCTGGTTCAGAAACTGCCTGCATGGGTCAAGCCATTTCTCTCTGGAGTGGTCTCTCTCTCCCCCAAGTCTGCCAAACCATCCGCACCCTCTCTCCCTCCTCCCCTGACCCCACTCCCAGCCCCTACCCACTCCCGATCCACCCTATACCCAGCTCTTGTGCAAGCCTCTCTCAAGGCGCCCCCCCTCCCCAAACCTAAGGTCCTGCCTGCAGGGGAAGAGACTCTACTTATGGATCTCCTGTCCAAGCTGCCTCCATATCAAGAGGCACCCCAAGAGGTGGCTAATGAGGCAGAAGCCATGCCTGCCGAACGCCCCGCTGCGACTGATGAGGCGGCCCCCTCACCTATGGCAAGCCGCCTCAGGGGGCGAGAACAGGCCCCTGCGGACTCCACCGCCCTGCCCCTGCGTACCGGCCCGGACGGCCAGCTGCAGTATTGGCCGTTCTCCGCCTCCGATCTCTATAATTGGAAAAACAATAATCCTCCTTTTTCTAAAGATCCCTTGCAATTGATCTCCCTTTTAGAATCAGTCCTAGTGACTCATCAACCCACCTGGGACGATTGCCAACAGCTTTTACAGGTGCTCCTGACCACTGAGGAGAAGCAGCGGGTCCTCCTCGAAGCGCGGAAGAATGTGAGGGGAGCGGACGGACAGCCTACCCAGCTCCCTAATGAGATCGATGTGGCCTTTCCCTTAACCAGGCCGGAATGGGACTTTGCTACTGAGGCAGGTAGGACCCATCTGCGTCTCTATCGCCAGTTGCTCATAGCGGGTCTCCGAGGGGCAGCTCGGCGCCCCACCAATTTGGCTCAGGTAAAACAGGTTTTGCAGCGAGCAGAGGAAACGCCCGCCGCGTTCCTCGAGAGATTGAAGGAGGCATACCGCATGTATACGCCTTACGATCCGGAGGACCCAGGACAAGCCACTGGTCTTGCCATGGCGTTTATCTGGCAGTCTGCCCCAGATATCCGTAATAAGTTACAGAGGCTGGACAATTTACAGGGGTATACGGTCCCTGATTTGCTAAAGGAGGCAGAGAAGGTATTCAATAATAGAGAGAGCCAGGAAGAGAGAGAAGAACGTTGGAGAAGAGAAAACATTGAGAGGGAGGAAAGGCAGCGAAAGGAGATGGAAGAGAGAGAAAATGCCAGGGATAAAAGGAGACAGAGGGAGCTTTCACGGTTGATGGCCACTGTAGTGTCAGGACAGAGAAAGTGGCAGGATAGACAGGGAGGAGATCGAAGAGGACCCAGGGTAGATAAAGATCAGTGTGCCTACTGCAAAGAACGGGGACATTGGGCACGGGAGTGCCCAAAGAAGCAAAATCGGAACAGAAATACAAGACCCCAGGCCTCAACTTCTCTCCTAAATCTAGAAGACTAGGGGAGTCGAGGCCAGGAGCCCCCCCCGAGCCGCGGCTAACCCTACACGTAGGGGGGGCACCCCGTCACCTTCCTGGTAGATACAGGGGCACAGCACTCCGTTTTGACCAGGTCCCCTGGCACGTTGAGCGGCCGCACGGCCTGGGTCCAGGGAGCCACAGGAGGGAAGACCTACCGCTGGACCACCGACCGGCAAGTGCAACTAGCGACTGGCAAGGTAACCCACTCCTTCCTCCATGTCCCAGACTGTCCATACCCGTTGCTGGGTAGGGACTTATTAACTAAATTAAAGGCTCAGATACATTTTGAAAAGACTGGGGTTAGCATCACTGACCTGTCGGGAAAGCCCTTTGCATGTGCTCACCTTGTCCATAGAAGATGAATATAGACTACATGAACGAAGCAAAAAGGCCCCAACCGATATGGAGGAATGGCTACTCAAGTACCCCCAAGCATGGGCAGAGACCGGGGGCATGGGTCTCGCCGATAGCCAGCCACCCATAATTGTGTCCCTGAAAGCGAATGCCATCCCAATCGCCGTGAAGCAGTACCCAATGTCCAAGGAAGCCAGAGAAGGCATAGCTCCTCACATCAATAGACTGTTGGATAAAGGGATCCTCATACCCTGTAAGTCCCCCTGGAACACCCCTCTATTACCCGTCAAAAAACCAGGAACGGGGGACTACAGACCAGTCCAGGACCTCCGAGAGGTTAATAAACGGGTTGAAGATCTACACCCCACAGTACCCAACCCCTACAACCTCCTTAGTGGGCTATCGCCTACCCACGTCTGGTATATGGTCCTGGACCTCAAAGATGCCTTCTTTTGCTTGAGGCTCCACCCCAACAGCCAGTTGTTATTTGCCTTTGAATGGAGAGACCCAGCTCGGGGAATCTCCGGTCAGCTGACCTGGACAAGGCTACCCCAAGGGTTTAAGAACAGCCCCACTCTCTTTGACGAGGCACTGCACCGGGATCTAGCCGTTTTTCGGGTCCAGCACCCCTCTCTGATTCTACTCCAGTACGTAGATGATTTGCTGCTGGCGGCTACGTCAGAGGAAGACTGTCGCCGGGGCCCGAGACCCTACTCCAGGTCTTGGGGAGTCTGGGGTACCGGGAGTCGGCCAAAAAGCCCAGCTCTGTTTAAAACAAGTGACCTATCTGGGCTACAAAATAAGGGAGGGGCAGAGGTGGCTAACTGAGGCCAGAAAGCGAACCATTCTGAACATTCCCGCCCCAAGAACTCCCCCGACAATTACGGGAATTCTTGGGGACCGCAGGGTTCTGCCGCCTCTGGATCCCAGGTTTCGCTGAGTTGGCCGCCCCCCTCTATCCCCTCACGCGGACCGGTATCCCCTATAACTGGGGAACGGACCAGCAGCAGGCCTTTGAGAATATCAAACAGGCCCTCCTACGCTCCCCGGCCCTGGGACTGCCCGACTTGCTGAAGCCCTTCGAGTTATACATTGACGAAAGACAGGGCTACGTGAAGGGGGTGTTAACCCAGAAGCTGGGACCATGGAGGAGGCCGGTGGCCTATTTATCCAAGAAACTGGACTCAGTGGCCGCAGGATGGCCACCCTGCCTCCGGATGGTAGCAGCGATAGCAATTCTGGTTAAAGATTCTGGCAAACTGACTATGGGTCAACCCCTCACCATTCTGGCCCCGCATGCTGTCGAAGCAATCATCCGGCAACCCCCGGACAGATGGCTCACCAATGCGAGAATGACTCATTACCAAACCTTACTATTAGATACCGACCGAATCCGGTATGGGGCCCCGGTGGCCTTAAATCCGGCCACCCTCCTACCTCTCCCTGGCACCCCCGAACACCATGAATGTCAGCAGATTCTGGCCGAGGTACATGGCACTCGCCCAGACCTCTCAGACTTGCCCCTCCCCAACCCTGAACACGTCTGGTACACGGACGGGAGCAGCTTCGTGGAGCACGGAGAGCGGCGGGCCGGAGCGGCGGTGACCACGGAAGATCAGGTAATATGGTCCCAAGCCCTACCTGCAGGAACCTCCGCTCAGAGAGCGGAGCTCGTAGCTCTGACCCAGGCCCTAAGACTGGCGGAGGGAAGGAGATTGACGGTGTATACCGACAGCAGATATGCCTTCGCCACGGCCCACATCCATGGCGAAATATACAGAAGGAGAGGTTTGCTTACCTCGGAGGGAAAAGAGATTAGAAATAAAAAAGAAATACTAGCCTTGCTACAGGCCATCCATCTGCCGCGAGCTCTCAGTATCATCCATTGCCCGGGGCACCAGAAAGGGGACACTCCAGTTGCAAGAGGCAACAGGATGGCCGACTGGGCGGCGAGGGCGGCGAGGGCGGCGAGGGCAGCCGCCACCGAGGGAAAACGGGTCGAAGCCCTATCGGTTGACTCTAGACCACTCTATGATGACTCCCGATGGGAATACACGGAACAAGATGTCAAGGCTCTGCGCTCCCTGGGAGCACGGGAAGATCTAAAAACAGAAAAATGGATGTACCAAGGAAAGGTAGTGTTGCCCTACGAAATGGGCCGCCATTTGATCTCCTGGCTGCATCGCCTCACGCATCTCAGCTACCAGAAGATGAAAAAGCTTCTAGAACGGGAGGAAGAGGTTTACTTCTTTCTACAGAAGAACGATCTTCTCAAAGAAATCACTGAACGTTGTGACGCCTGCGCCAGGGTGAATGCTTCTAAGATCAAGCTGCCTCCGGGTATAAGAACCAGAGGTCACAGGCCAGGCACTCACTGGGAAGTAGACTTTACTGAAATAAAACCGGGCAAGTATGGATATAAATATCTACTGGTTTTTGTAGATACCTTTTCAGGATGGCCGGAGGCATTCCCGACAAGACACGAGACTGCCGCTGTGGTGGCCAAGAAGCTATTGGAAGAAATCTTCCCCCAATACGGGATGCCCCAGGTAGTAGGGTCAGATAATGGTCCCGCCTTCATCTCCCAGGTAAGCAGAACAGTGGCCACCTTGTTGGGGATTGATTGGAAACTACATTGTGCATACCGACCCCAGAGCTCAGGACAGGTAGAGAGAATGAACAGAACGATTAAGGAGACCTTAACCAAATTAACGCTTGCAACTGGCACTAGAGACTGGGTCCTCCTGCTACCACTTGCCCTGTATCGGGCTAGGAACACGCCCGGACCACATGGGTTGACCCCATTTGAGATCCTGTTTGGGGCCCGGTGCCCATTGTTAATTTCTTAGGCCCCGATGTTTCTGACTATGCTAATACCCCTTCTCTACAAGCCCATCTACAGGCCCTCCAGCTGGTCCACAAGGAGGTGTGGGAACCTCTAGCCCAGGCGTACCGGGACCAAAGAGACAATCCGGTCGTGCCCCATCCGTATCAGATCGGAGACGCTGTCTGGGTCAGACGCCATCAGACCAAAAACCTCGAACCTCGCTGGAAGGGACCATATTTGGTTCTGTTGACCACCCCCACCTCGGTAAAGGTTGACGGGATTGCCGCTTGGATCCACTCGAGCCACGTCAAGCCGGTCCGATCAAACGACCCTCAGCCACAAGGAACATGGACAGCCCATCGCACCCAGAACCCTCTAAAGATAAGACTCTCCCAAGTTGTTTAATTATTTTACTGTGCTTTGTGCGAGTAGAGGGAAGCCCTCACACCCCACAGCTCTTAACTTGGCAGGTGTTCTCCCAGACGGGGGAGATGGTCTGGTCTCTCTCAGGCTACTACGCGCCGGGTACCTGGTGGCCTGCTCTCACTCCCGACTTCTGCCACCTGGCCGCCGGGCTGGAGATCTGGGACATCTCCACAGTCGGGGCCCATGAGATGACTCAAAATATACAGTCTCCCCTGCCACCCCTAGGAAAGACCTGGCCACAGGGGTGCTGCAATCCTAGAGCTAGATGTCTCCTGGCACAAATGGACTTCTACGTCTGCCCTCGACAAAGACAGTCTCGAGCCTTAAGATGTGGGGGATACGAGAGTTATTTCTGTGCCAATTGGGGTTGTGAGACCACGGGGGATGCCTACTGGAAACCCAGGTCATCCTGGGACCTGATTGAGGTACACCGTAATTATTCACGGCCCCCTCTGGGCCGCTTTGATTGTGATTATGGCTCCAGTAGATGGGGCTCTTGGTCCTGCAACTCAGCCACCTGTCTCCCCCTCAACATTACCTTCACCCAAAAAGGAAAACAGGACTATACTCAATGGTTAAAAGGAAAAACCTGGGGACTGAGATGGCACATGCCATGGGAAGATAGAGGCGTTATCCTCAAAATCCGTTTGACCGCCCAAACTAGTTCGGCCCCTATTGGGCCAAACCCTGTGCTGGCGGACCAACGGCATCCCTCCGACCAATCTGCCCCTAAGCCAGAACGCCTTCCCTCACTGAACGCCACCAATTCGCCCCCCACCAGCACCACTGAGGCTGCCCAACCTGGCACGGGGGACCGGCTTATAGGCCTTACCCAGGGGGCCTACCTAGCCCTAAATGGGACTCAAGCTGACAAGACTCAGGATTGCTGGCTCTGCTTAATGTCAAGCCCTCCCTACTATGAGGGCACTGCAGTGGTCGGGAACTATTCCAACCACACTTCCCCACCGCCTACGTGTACCGAGGGATCCTCACACCGATTGACCCTAACTGAAGTCTCAGGACAGGGTACATGTCTAGGGAAAATTCCTCCCTCTCATACCCTCCTCTGCAACTCTACCCAGACCTTGGGCCCAGGAGCATACTATTTGGCCGCCCCTAATGGCACTTACTGGGCGTGCAGCACAGGTCTGACTCCCTGTGTATCTACCGCCGTTATGAACATGTCCCGGGACTACTGTGTCCTAGTCCAGCTATAGCCGAGAATTACTTATCATACCTCAGAATATTTTGTCAGCCAGTTCGAAGAAAGATCCCAACTTCGAATTAGGAGGGAGCCGGTCACATTAATGCTGGTCCTCATATTGGGGGTTGGGGGAATAGCGGCCGGGATAGGCACTGGTGCTAAGGCTCTTTCAGAAACCACCCAGTACCACCAACTACAGACAGCCATGCAGTCGGACATTAGAATCCTTGAGGAATCGGTAACAGCCCTCGAGAAGTCACTCAAGTCTCTGTCTGAAGTAGTCTTGCAGAATAGGAGAGGTCTGGACTTATTGTTCCTTAAGGAAGGGGGATTATGCGTAGCTCTAAAGGAAGAATGTTGCTTTTACACCGACCACACTGGAATCGTGAGAGACAACATGGCCAAGCTGAGGCAGAGATTAGATCGGAGGCAGAAATTCTTAGATGCCCAACAGGGTTGGTTTGAGGGCTGGTTCAATAGGTCACCCTGGTCTACTACCCTAATTTCTGCCATAGCAGGGCCCATAATGGTTCTCATTCTCATTCTGATATTGGGGCCCTGCCTACTTAACCGTTTAACCCAGTTCGTGAAGGATAGGTTCTCTGTCATACATGCAATGGTTTTAACACAACAGTATCAACAACTTAAACAGATGGACCCAGGGTTGACTAAACCACTTGAATGAAGGATTCCATTCAGTCGCAAGAAAAATGGGGGAATGAAAGACCCCCTCCCGACATAGCCCACCAGGAACTGTCTGAGTTCACGCTAAGGGCGAGAGCCCCTGGCGCCTCGAGGGCTTGACAAAGAGGATATCAGTGGTCGGCCATCCAAAACTGGGGAGTTACAACTGGGGAGTTTCCCATCCACAATGTGCCCGAGATGAAAGCTAAGTCAGCCACCTGTGACTTCCTTGTATTCAAGCCAGGTGGCCCCAGTCTAACCTCTCTTCAAGCCAGGTGGCCCCAGTCTAACCTCTTGCCTCATTAAAATTGACCAATGGAAATCCTGTGACTATGCATCCGCTTCTGTACCCACGCTTTTCGCTATATAAAGCATCCCCGTTCCCCATCTGGGCGCGCTTGGTTCCCGAGACCAAGACGCCCGGGTACCCGTATGTGTGATCAATAAAACCTCTTGCTGATTGCATCCATACGTGTGGCCTCGCTGATCCTTGGGGGGGGGGGGGTCTCTCAGATTGAAAGTATCCCAAGTGTGGGGGTCTTTCACTGAGGACCACCCCGTGGGCCACAAAGGCGTGGCTGAAGACACGCAGGCAACACCACTATAGGCCATACTCACGTCTTACGCTTCATATTTATGATTCTTCCCTTCAGACAAGTTCATACAATGGATGATACCCAGTCTTGAGGTAATTTTGGACTGAACGGGGTGGCATGTAGACTGACTCTTTTCCATCTGGCCCCACAGCCATTTAGCTTCAGTAAACACACTGGCGCTTATATTAACTATAAACTGTTTGGCTGTTGGCTCAGGCTTCTTATTGGCTTGCTCTCTCTTAATTATTAACGCATAACTATTAACTATGGCCTTACCTTACTGTAGAATGTCTGTTGTCCTGTCTTCCCAGTACTATATGGCGTCTCTCTCCGGCTTCTCTCTGCCTTCCCCTCCCCAGAATTCTCCTCATCTGGTAACCCTACCTGTACTTCCTGCTTAGCTACTGGACAATCAGTGTTGTATTCATCAACCAATAAGAGGAACATACATACAGAAGAACATCAGTGCGTCCACAAATCGGGCTCCTGCTAGTGTGGGACATGGCAGTCACCCCAGAGGCTGTAGACAACAATAGCATCGCCTGCCTCCATCTGCTGCCTCCCATAGAGCTTTTAAGGAGGCAAAGCCCTGTGTAAAACAGTCTCTGGCCTTCTGCTCCTCTGAGGAAGAAGGCCAAGGCCAGAGTCTGAAATCAACAAAGCTCAAAAGATCCTCCCTCCTTTGGGAATCAGAGAACCACACCAAAGCCTCCTGCAGACCGGGTGTACGTGTTGCCTGGCATTTGCATCCTACGGAGTAATTAAGTGACAGGGACTTTCCTGAGACCCCACTGGTCAGACCAGAGTCATGACTGAAGACAAATTAACAACCCACAGATTGAACCCTCTAAAGTAAGTGTTTGCTTTGCACAAAATGGCCGTCGCTCTCACATTCCCCTGAGCTTTTTCTTCAGGATAAATCTTGGCTTTGGGAGAGGAGGCTAGAAGCTTGTAAGCTACTACACTGAGAATTCCTTCAGTTTCTCCACAAGAAGGAATGCAGCTAACGATTTCTGCACAGTGAGCTTTTTCTGATAGTGTCCAACCTGGGGGTCGCTCCTTCTCTTCAGGAGCCAAGGCTACTTCTAAATCCCTCAGTGTCGGCTGGGCGTTGGTGACACAAAATTTTAATCCCTGCACTCAGGAGGCAGGGGCAGGTAGATCTCTGAGTTAGAGGCCAGCCTTGTCTACAGAGCGAGTTCCAGGACAGCCAAGACTATACAGAGAAACCCTGCCTAAAAATAAATAAATAATAGAAAATACATCCCTATGATCCATTCCCAGATACTAGGAAATATGCATTATTGCAGAATGAACAATATGCCATCTATGGCAAGCTAAATATTGGTCCTAAAGGTAATAACCATATTAATTCCTCAAGCCTGTGAATATTTTCTTCTGTGATAAAAGGATTTTACAGGTTAAAGATCTTTTTACAGGGATATTGTCCCCATAACTGCTTTACCATCTGCCTCCCCTAAGGACTGAGAAAATAATGCCTAGAAACGTGCCTGCGGAAGGCAGTCCTTGTGATGTGCAGGGCTGCTCCTTCTGTACCAGAAGCCTGGTTGGTCTGTCAGCATGGGCCACTATGTCACCGTGGGCCACCAAGCTTAGGTGAGCATAGGTGCATGCATTAATCCGTTGCTCTCTGCTCTTGACCTTGGATGTAACGTGACTTACTGTTCAGGTTCCTGTTGCCTTGATTTGCCCAAAATGATGGACTGTAACCTGGAATTGTGACACAATTCCTTTCTCCCTCCATTTGCTTGTCCAGTTATTTCATCGCAGCAATAGGAAATTAAAACCAAAACAAAGCCTGAGTGTCTCCTCATTTTAAAGGAAGAAACTTCCTGAATTTGTATGAATAAGGACTGGGTGATAGGTGCCTGCAGCAGGAAGGCCTGAGACTCCATGTGAATGCTCAGCTTGTGGAGACGGAGGGGGCACAGCAGGCCTTTCATCAGGGAGGGATGCTGGCGACAGGACCAGTCCTCTCAGCAGATGATCTATTTTGGGGCTAATCATCTCGATTTTATTCGTCTCACTGTGAAAGCTGCTGACAAAAATCAAGCTGATCAAGGAGAGCAGACAGGCACTCTCAGTGCTACTGAGGAGTTGGAGGCTTCCTCTGCATCTTTTTTTTTTAACCTCATAAAACACTGAAATGTGTGTTCCTTACATTGTCTGTGGATTTCATCTTTTTGCAAGCCAGCTGTAATCAGACATTAGACTATCAATCGGGTGGGAGTCCTGGGTTTTTACTCTCACAAGCAATGCCTAATATGGGTGATTTGCTGCCCACGTTTTACAAAAGCAGGCGCTGGGGTCAGGGAAAGGGGTAACCTTCAGGTGATGGGTGGCAACTTTTAAAGCTGGATATGGGTCAACTTCCTTTTCTTTGAGCAGGGACAGTCTGGATCTCTCACTGTCTTCACTCAAAACCTCTGAAGGGGAAGTTGTAGAAAGCTGAGCTTATCGTCATCAACGGCTTCCTCCATCTTCTGTAGTCCTACAAGTAAATGAAGCAGCCGGAATCTGACAGGTGGGTGCTATGCACCCACTCGTGTCGATAGGCAGAGCAAACATCAGCACGGTTTTCTGTGGGGAGAACATGGAGATGGGAGGTTTGCCATTCCAAACGCAGATGTTGTGCTAGGTATTGTGTGCTCTCGGGGAAAATTCACTCACTTTTTCTGCCTAGTTCCTAGATCTTTCCAGCAGACATGAGACTGATTCACCTGGCAGTAGTCAGAAAACCACCCAACAGAAACAACTGAGGTGGCCACAGCCCAGGAGAGGGCTAATGGGCTCACACAGGAAACATCATGAAATGAGGGTGAGGGCTAGCCTAGGACAGCAGCAGCTAACTGAGAAGACGGGCGTACGGCACAGTGAGGACTTTTTGAGAAGGAGCAGTAACACAGATCACCACGCCGCACAGAGCCAGAGCAGCAGGCATCTTGTGGAACAAGTCAGAGTCTTCAGGAGCACACAAGAACTCCAGGGAAGCAAGCTTTGAGTAAGAACATAAGCCAAGGCCCTGTGTCAGCTGA